GATTATGCAGTTTCATCATGGTATCATGTACTTATTTACGTTGTTAGAGCAATATATAAAGTATCTCTAAAAGATCATTAGCTAAGTACTTACGTATTCATCCAATTTATTTTCTCCTAGCCTGGTAGATGTATTGTTTGATTCTTTTTATTGGTCAATACTCATTTTCTGTTTATTAGTTTTTCAACGATCCTGAATTTCCTTCGTCTTGCAGTTGCGATTAGTCATGTAGCAAATTATTGGTTTGTGCTTCGTATTCATATGTTTCTGTTATGTTTCTCATGATTGTTGATCGGTTTAATGTTCTTATATGTTTAAGAATATTTTTAATTGTAAGGTTTTTTGTTGAATTACATATATCTGGGGCTTAATTTTTATTGTTTGCTTATCTTAACAATTGTGTTATGAATTTTTTCTTTTGTATCTTTTACTAATTAGGTTTAGTGTCTCTGATTATGATATTGTTTTCTTTGTGTTTAGGACATATCGGAGGGTAGCGATCGAAAAATCGTGTCGATGTTTTAGCTAGGTATTCATCCAATTTATTGTTTGTTTCTCCTTCCCCAGTAGATATATTTTCTCCAACTCATATAGTGCATCATAAACAACCAAATTCACCTTAATCCCCCATTCCCCTCTTTAAATCTTTATATGAAACACTAATTTGTATTTTACCTTCTAAATCGACACCAATCAGTTTACGTGCTTATATGATATATCGCATGAATTGAAACACAATCTAAAGGCTATAAAGATAAGACTCATTCTCTTGTAAAAAATGAATCACCAGCAAGAGTTGGCACTCTAATTAGGTGAGAGTTTCTAATTAATAAATGGGAGTTATAGATTAGTGGAAATTATCTAATTGGTCGTGTTACTTTTCGATTATGTTTTTATCTTCAGAGAAAGAGGAGGAAAGTACAAGAAGAGGATGGAGAAGAAGCTAATTTTGTAAATTTTTTGTTTAGATGGTCGTATTTAATTGCTTTGGACATGCAATTCATAGGCATCATTTAACCTTTTGTTTTGTATTCTAGACTTCTGTTTTCTTTTTAAAAAGAAAATGTCGTAAAAGAAAAGAAAAAATATTATTCATATGTCAGTACATCTTGGGAAATTGCGGTTCTCGTCATATATAATGGAAACAACTCTTTAGACTTGGTTCTAATGGAAAAATAGTTAACAATGTTGTGTTACTGTCACCACTAAAGGCAGGACAAACTGTAGGTGTGATGGAGAGGTTGATGTAAATGAGATCAATGCAAAGAAAGAAACTATTGGTTTAATATCATTTAAATGTTGTAAAAACCTAAAAAGCTTATAATATGATATGATTAATTATACCCAAAAAGTGCATTAGACGTTATTCTAGGTTTTAACATCACTAATAAAATAATTTGATGGCATGAGGTTACTAAAAAGATCATTTTTTTACGTGTTTGTATTTGGATTTAGGCTTTGATGCTAGAGTTAAGGGTTTAGGCCAGATATATTGTTTTCAATGTTTACGTAAATTTTGTGAGGGTTTAGGCTCTCATATTAGAGATTAATACCCCTTAATTTAAACTATTTGATGGTCTAATGGTAATATGAATAACAAAAATATTTGCGTTAACTAAAAATAATAAATGTAGGTATTGGATCGATTTGAACTAACTGAACTCAACCCGATTAACCAAAATTAATCGAATTACCCGAAATTAACTGAATGTTTTACTTAAAACCAAATCGAATTAACATTTCAGTATTATACGACAACATTACATACAAACCAAATTTTGCCATAATCGAACCATACTATTATTCGATTAGTTTCAGTTAGTTTCGGTAGAATATTTCCAACCCGAAAGAATCAAAGAACCGACAAAACCGAATCAAACCGACCATAGCTAACACAATATATCTAAACTTTGGATAAATTTTTGTATTTGGATTAAGGCTCTAATGCTAAGATTCTAGGGTTTATGATCAATGTAATAATTGTTTCCATATTTTACGTGCATTTGTAAGGGTTTAGACTCACATACTAGGGTTTGGTGCTCATTAATTCGTTAGAATTATAAATTATTTTCAATATTCTACATGCAATTGTTAGGGATTAGGCTCCCATGTTAGGGTTTATTACCCCCTTAATTTCAACAAAAATATTGATGGTATAAAGTTAATGAGTAATTTTAAATGTTCAGTTCAAAAGATAT